ACTATTCTAGTACCAACTTCATTTCTGTGAGCCTTCAGACAATGTGCATTTTAATTTGGCAGTGACCTCCATAGAGCAGGACACATTGATTAAAAAAAATTGGTGCCTTTCCACTTTGTCTATGGCAACAGAATAAGTAAATCTCATTTTAAAGTGGGAAAAAAGTAAGTTCAATTGATCCTGGTTCCTGTCTCTGATGGACTGCTCTTAGAACTGAGTTGGGGTAATTTCAATTTAGTGTAGAGAAATTTAGGTTATTTGTTACAAGAGAGGAATAATCTTAAATCTTTTTGCATTTTCCAAAAGAGTTATACATGCTTACTGTCTCATAATAACCCTTTATTTATTCCTTACTAACTTTAGTAATTTGTACTAGCCTGGCATGGTGCTATCATTTTCATAGAATCGTTTTTTTCCCTGTCCCCTCCCTTTCTTCTTACATTTCCCATACTCTATCTCATGATCTCTTTTCTTGCAAAAAAAAAAAGTTTCCTATTATCCCTCTTTTATTTTGCTCTTTATTTGTAGTTTGGGCTTCTTACATAAGAGAAGCCATGTCATACTTAAGATTTTGTGTTTGATTTATTTCACTTAACATTGTGGTCTTGAGATACATCAATTTTTCTACAAATGACTCAGGTTTATCATTTTTGTGGCAAGAATAGTACTCCACTGTATACAAGTATGTACTGTTTTCTTTGTCCATTCATCTGTTGATGGACAAGTAAGTTGGTTCCAAGATGTAGTTATTATGAGTTGTGCTGTTCTAAACATAACTAGTCATGCATCACTGACATATGATGTATTTAACTCTTTGGGAAGATATCTACAAAGGGAATAGTTGGGTCAGATGGAATTTTTATTTTTAGTTTTTTGAGTAATCCTCATAGTGTTTTTACTTGTTTATATTCCCACCAGTAATTTCAAAAGCTTTTGTTTTTGCCTTCTTCCTACCCAGCATTTGTTATCATTTGACCTCTTGATAGTAGCCATTTTTTTGGAGTAAGATGGAATATCAGCACTATTTTAATTTGCATTTCTCAGGCCAGAGGTGTTGAACATTTTTTTCATATATTTATTGGCCATTTGTATTTCGTTTTTTTCAGGAGGACATAGAAATATATCATTTTATTAAAAAGAGTCTCACAGTAAATGAAAATGTCTCAAAAAAAGGAAGCTAGACTACCAACCTCCACCTGGAGAACTGGGAACACAGGGCAGTGTGAACTGCCCAGCTCATTCTGGGCCAGTGTAAAGATATGAGAAAAGAAACAATTGGAAAATGGCCGATGTTACTGTAGAAGCCCAAAGAACAGGGGGCCCTGGAGGTGCAGCCACCCTTCCAGAGCACTTAACACTAAACAGGCCCTCAACACATCAGGATTTCATCTTACAGCTGCATCGCTTCCCTCCAGATCTGAACCCTTTATGACTTAAAACTAAGACTTGGGGAGGGGTGGGGAGCATGATTGCTACTAGAAAAGTTCCCCTAGCATAGCTGCCCTGTACTCAAGGGCCCTGGCTCCTCTCTAGTCCCTGGAGACATTTATATTTAATATATATTTAATATAAATATACAGAGAAATAGAAGATATAAAATCTGAGGGGTTAGAGGGAGAAAAGTAGGGAACATGGCAAGAAGCCTGAGCTAGAGAGGCCTGCTTAGGCCAACGTAACCTCCTTTTTGACCCCTTTGGCTTTTGACTTCTTTGTCTTCTCTTCTGTCACCTCTTTCTTCCCTTCTGGTTCTTTCTTATTCTCATCTTCTGTTTTGACTCTTTTGGTTTCCTTGACATTGGAAGAATTCTTTCAGCAACCTTCACCCTCCTCATCTGAGTCAGAGATCTCTTCCTCACAAGCAGTTTGTCAGAGAAACAGATTGAGAAACACTTGTCAGGGTCTTCTTTGTCCTCATCACCACTTTCCTTTGGAATGGCATCCTCAGGAATTGCCTGTATTTGGACTCAAGGTGTGTGGGGAAGCATTCTCAGGTTCTCAAAAAGCTGCTGTTTGATCTTCTCCAGGTACTCATTAGTGTTCTAGTTAGTCATATTGGAAGGACTGATGTGAAGCTTGAAATCTGGTCCAAAGTATTTGGAGTAGTCATTGTATGGGAGTTCGTTAAGGATCTCTATGTCTAGGGCCACAGCTGTTTCATATGTCCAGCAACAGACATTATGAATGGTATAACCACATGCTCCCAGCATCAGCATAGGCAGGTTGAAGCTTTTGACTAATTCCATACACATGGTATGCCCTTAGATGGTTAGATTGAAGCAACCCAGCCGATCCCCAGAGAGGGAGTCTGAGCCACACTGTAAGACCACCACACTAGGCTGGAACATCTCCATTACTTTGGACATGACCAGCTTGAAAATGGCCTCATAGGACTTGTCATCAATCCCATCTCGGAGTGAATAGTTAACAGCATAATACTTGCCTTTGCCAGCCCCAATATTCTGTAGGTACCCAGTTCCTGGGAAGTACTCTCCATATTTATGAAAGGACACAGGCATGACCTAGTCTATCGTAAGAAGCCTGTTCCATGTCTTCGCCATGGTGAATATCATTGTCAGTATAAAGCACTCTCTGGTGCTACTTTAGCAGTTCCAGGATGGCCAAGACGATATCACTGATATAACAGAAGCCAGATGCCTTGGACCTCTTTGCATGGTGCAGGCTGCCAGCCCAATTCACTGCAATGTCCGTGTGCTGCTTGTTAAGTTTCACAGCACTTGCCACAGAGCCACCAGTGGACAACTGACAGAACTCAAACAGTTCATCAAATACTGGACAGTCCTCACCAGTGTTGAATCTCTGCATCTGCTTACTATACTTGGACATGTTATCTGGATGGATGGAGTGCAAGAACTTAATGTAGTCATCAATGTGGTACTTGGTCATATCAGCATCTCCTTGTGAAGTAAATAAATTTCCATCTTTTGGTAGAGGCCATAGTTGAGCAGCAGATTTTGAGTCATGCAGATTCAGTGAGGCTTCCTTATACATAATAGTAATTTCCAACATCCCTGTCGTAGTAGTAACAGACCTTCCTCCTGGTGCCCTGACTGTGCCATCTTGCTGCATCTAGTCCCTCCTGCCAGTCGTAGCCATTTGTATTTCTTCTGAGAAGTGTATATTAATCTCAGTTATCCATTTTTGGTTGGGTTTAAATTTAAGTCATCTAATTTTTTTAGTTGTTTATATATTCTAAATAGTAATCCTTTGTCTAAGATGTAGAGAACAAAATTTTTTATCATGCTGTAGGTTGTCATTCTATTTTTTCTTTTGCTGTGGAGAAAAATTTTTTTAAATGTATTTAGTACAAGGTCTACAGAGTCTCACTACACAGATTGGATTCTGATCCTCCTGTTTTTGGCTTGCCAAGTGCTGGGATTATAGGTGCGTGCTCCCATGCCCAGTCTCAATCTCAGTCTCAGTGTGCCCCAGGGGCGAGGCTGGCAGGGCACACGGGGGATTGAACCCCAGTCCCTGCATCTGCCTAAGCAGGCACTTTAATCTGCTGGGCTATCTGGCTTGCCCTTGTGCAGAAATTTTTAACAATATAATATTTTATGTTGATTCTTTTATTTTTATTTTTTCTTTTCTGTACTTTTTAGGGAAAGGTCTACAGGGTGTTCAGCGTCTTGCTAGATCAGACTCGTAGTGATTCTCCTGTTTACAGCCTCACAAGTGCTGGGATTATAGGCACTTGCCACTATGCCCAGTTTCAATCCCAGTCTCAACGTGCCCCGGGTGTGGGGTTTGGGTTGGCACTGCAGGCCTGGGACTCAATCTCCTAGCCCCTGCCCCTCCTTGCAGGCACTTTAATCCATTGAGCTATTTGGCCTGCCCCTTATGTTGATTCTTGATATTATTTCTTATGCTATTGGGGTTCTGTTTAAAAACTCCTTGGCTATGCTTATGATTTCGAGAGTTTTACCTAGTTTGTCTCCCATGGGTCAGTTGTTTTCTTTTGCAATATTTAGATCTTTGATCCATTTTGATTTTACTTTAGTACATTTTGATTTTAGTTTAGTGTATTTTGACAGGAATAGGTCTGGCTTCAATCTTCTGCATGTATATAGCCAGTTTTCCCTGAACCATTTGTTTAGGAGGCTATCTTTTCTCCAGTGTATGCTTTTGGCTCATTTGTTAGGTATCAAAGTGACAGATAACTGATAAGCATCTGGTGTTGTTTCTGCACACTCTATTCTTTTCTTTTGATACACATGTCTGTTTCTGAGCCACTGTGATGTTATTTTATCACTGTAGCTTTATAGTATAACTTGAAATCCAGGATTGTGATACCTCCTGCTTTGCTCTTGCTGCCCAGGATTGCGTTAGCTATTCTGGGTCTCTTCTGATTTCATATGTACTTTAAGACTGTTTGCTATAGTTCTGTGATGAATGTTGTTGGTATTTTGATTGACCTTCCATTAAATCTGTATGAGTCTTGTAAGTATGGCCATTTTGACAATACTGATTTTAGCTTTCCAGGAAAAGTGAATGTCTCTCCATTTTCTGATGTTCACTTCAATCTCATTTATTTATAGAGCACTGTAATTTTTGTTGTAAATGACTTTTCACTTCATCAGTTAGGTTAATTCTTAAATATTTTTTTCTTGGTGTTATTATGAAAGGTATTGATTTTATAATTTCTCATTGTATTCATATTGGTATAATGGAACACTTGATTTTTGTGTGTTGATTTGTACATTCTGCTTCATTGCTGAGTTTATTTCTTCTAGAAGTCTATGGGTAGAATTTTTTGGATCTTCTATGTGTAGGATCATGTCATCTGCAATGAGTGTTTGACTTTTTCCTTTCCTATATGTATTCTTTTATTTCTATCTCATCTAATTGCTATGGTAGTGTTTTGAGTACTATATTGAACAGGAGAGGTGAAAGTGGACATGATTGTGGAGGGAAGGCTTTCTATTTTCTCCATCTAATATGGTTCTGGTAGGTCTGTCAGAAATGTTTTTGTTTGTTTTTTAAAAAATATGGTACACTTCATGAATTTGAGTGTCATCCTAACCCAGGGGCCATGTTAATCTTCTCTGTATTGGTCCAGCTTTAGTACATGTGCTGCTGAACCTAGCACCAGAAATGGTTTTTATCAGATTGAGATAAGGTCTTTCTATACCTATTTACTTTGCTGTTTTTGTCACAAATTGATGTTGGATTTTGTCACAGACTTTTTCTTCCTCTATGAAGATTATCATTTGACTTTTGTCTTCACTTCTGTTTATGTTAAGTAGTTTATTTATTGACTTACACATATTGACCTACCCTTGCATCCCTGTGCTGAAGCCTTGGTCATAAGGTATGATCTTTTTGATGATTTGTTGCATTCTGTTTGCCAGTATATTATTGAGAATTTTTTTGTCTATGTTCTTTAATGAGATTAGCCTGCATTTCTCTTTCTTAGTTGGATCCTTGTCTGGTTTTAGAATTAAATGCTAGCTTCCAAGATTGATTTTGGGTGTACTCCTTCCCTTTCAGTTTCATTAAAGAGTATGAGCAGTATTTGACTTAATGTTCCCTGAAGTTCTTCTAATATTCAGTGAAATGTGTTAGGTCTTAGACTTTTATTGATAGATTTTTTTTTCTTAGTGCTTCAGTTTCATTGACTGTTACTTAATTATTCAGAGTTTTATATCTTCTTGGTTCTGTTTTGGTAATTCATATTTACCTAGGAATCTGTTTTTTTTTTGAATTCTCCAGTTCATTGGAGTACAGATTTTCAAAGAAGTTATTAATAATGCTGTAGATTCCAATGATGTTCATTGTGATTTTACCTTTTTCCATTTCTAATTGCATTGACTTTGGTTGTTTCTTCTTTTGGTAAGTTTGATTAAGGGTTTTTGTGTTTTGTTTATTCTTTCAGAGAACTAGCTCTTTGATTCATTGATGCTTTTTTTTAGTGTCAATTTCATTAATATCTAGTCTGACATTTATAATATCCTTTTTTGTATTAGCTTTAGATTTAGGTTGTTCTTATTTTTCTAAAACTCTTGAGGTGTATCACTAGGTTATTTATTGGGATTCACTCAGTTTTACTGATGTGAGCAGTCAAAGTTTATAAACTGTCCTCTTTGCAGTGCTTTCATTGTGTCCCATATGTTCTGGCATACTGTTCTGGCATTATCATTTGATCCTAGTAACTGTCTAATTTATTCCTTGAATTTTTTTCTGTGACCTATTGATTGTTCATAAGTATCGTTTAATTTCAGTGTGTTTGCATAATTTCTGTGGGGTTTTTTCACCATTGTTTTCTAGTTTCATTGCACTTTGTTCCATAAATATACATGTAGTAATTTCTTTTGTATATAAATAATCATACTTTCTGAGTTAATATGTGGTCTTTTTCAGAAAGATCCATGTATTTCTAGGAAGAATATTTATTGTTGGGTGGCACACTCAATAGATAATCTATTGTGTTCATTTGTTTAAAGATTTGATTCAACTCTGATATTTCTTTAAATTTCTTTTCTACTGTTTGCCACACACAGTAAGATATTGAGGTCTCCCAGTATAATTGTGTTGATTTCTATGAGATCTTTTATGCCCAAGAGTGTTTGTTTTATAATGTCGGGTGCATCCATGTTTGTTACATGTTTATAATTATAGTTTTATTCTTAGTGAATGATTCCCTTAACTAATATGCAATGACATAATTTGCCTCTTGTGATGAGCATTGGCTTGAAGTGTAGTTTTTATCTAAATAGCTATCTTAGTTACTTTTCTCTTTACTGATACAAATACCCAAAACCCAAATTTAAAGGAGGAAAGATTTATTTAGTTTGCAGTTTGGTGAAGTCTCAGTCTATAATCAGCTGGATCTAAGGCAGGGTCATTGTGTGGCAAAAGCAGCAAGTACAAAAGAGTGCAATCCTCTTTTTCTAATCTTTATGTTTTATACAGATGTCCCACTCTATGGCAGAGGTAACACTCCCATCCCCAATCCCAGCACTAGGCAGTAAACCTAGATTCAGCTGCCTGTGAAAAACTCACCTCCAAGACAACATGAGGCTTTAGGGGGACATCCAGACACAAACCATAATAATATCATAGCCATTCATGCATGTTTTCAGGCTCCTGTTATATGGACTATTGTTTTATACTTTTTGATTTTTAATCTCTGAATTTCATTTTGGATTAAATGTGTTTCCTATATAGAACATACAGTTGGGCTTAGTTTTTTTCTTTTTTCTTTTTCCCTTTTGACACAATCTGCTGGTCTATGTCTTTTGAGTGGGGACTTGAAACCATTCACATTTAGTTATTACTGAACAGTATTGACCTACTCCTATCATCACATTGCTGTTGCTAATTCCTTTTTTATGCTTAACAGTTCACCCTGCCTGTTGTATTAATTCTGTTAGACTTTTTGACATCATTGACTTCATCTTGTCTTTCTAGGATATCCTTGAGAATCTTTTGGAGTGTTGGTTTCATGGTCATGGACTTCTTAAGGTACTCTTTATTATGATAAGATCTTATTTTTCCATCAGTTTTGAAATATAGTTTCATAGAACAGTCTGTGTTGCAAGTTCTTTTAAGGCTGAAAACACTGCACTCCAGGCTCTTGTGGCCCTTAAGCTTTGTGTTGAGAAGTCTGGTATAATTCAGTGAGTTTACCTAAATAAATGGTTTGTTGCTTTCTTATCACAGTTTTTAAGATTATGGCCTTGTACTAAACTTCTAGGATTTTGACTACAGTTTATCACAAAGAATTTTTCTGATCATTTGGGGTTTTATATGTGTCACTAATCTATATGTATGTATGTTGGTATGTATGTAAAATTCTTCCTCAATAAAAATTTATATTATTTCTACATACAGTTTTTTAATGTTATTTGTACTTTACTCTGATTTTTCACCAATTCTAATTAATTTTATTTTGTATCATTTAGCAGTAGTTGGATCTATTTTTCATGGTTCCTTTTTTTTAAAGGTATCTCTATATGTTCACCTGTATCAGGCCAGTCTTGTAGGTCTGACATGCTACCGTCACTTGTGCTACCCTTGATTTCAAAAGAACCTTTAATCTCTTCCATTTCCATTTCATATCTTTTCAGTTTTGCTAATTCTTTGATAATCTGGTCATGTTTTATATTGTTGTGTTTAGTTCAACTAGCTTATTGTTAGTGTCTTCTCTATACTCACTGATTGTTTTGTTAAGTGCATTATTTGTTAGGTTAAGCACCTTTCTGAATTTTACAATCCCCTTTTTTATCATTTTAAATAAACCAGCTGTGTAGCTTTTAATTTGCTTCCCTTTGATGCCCCATGGGTCAGCTTTTTGGGGATTTGGCAGTTTCAGAGGCATTTTGTTGCCTTGGCTTCTCAGGTTTCTATTTTATTTTAATTAATTTATTTTTTACTGAGATTTGCAGGTGTAATATAGTTGAAGACTTTATTAGTAGTATGGAGAGCTCTTTAATTCGTGTGTTCTTTCCAGCGATGTACTCTTGGCATGGCTATCTCTAGGCTTTTGCTTCTGTCCCAGTATCCAACCATGTCTGTTAATTTGGTAGGGGAGTGTGTAGTCTAAATAGCCCACACTCAGTACTCTAGAAATGAATGACAGTATTTTTACGATACAAAGACAAACTAGATACTAGCATACAGGGAAAAAACACACAATAGGAATAACTATACTACACTGGCAATAATGAAATTAGCAACAATAGTAGACTCAAAGACAAACTGGGTATTGACAAATTGTGTATTGACATATTGAAATACAATGATATTCCATACCAAGTAAAAGCTACCACTGTACTGTCTTTTACCATAGGGAAAAACTATATTATGTATACAGAAAGACAAACCTATTTTGACATACCTTAAATATTTACTAAGTTACCACCTTTAATAATAGAAAATAATTGAATAATAATAGCCAATTAAATATGTAAGATTAGTAAAGGTTAGTGTTTATACTAGTAAAGCTAAAGGTGGTGTGGATGTGACAATGAAAGAAGTAAAATTTGAAAAATAAAGGAAGATGAAAAGGAGGAGAAAAAATGAGATAAAGAATCCTATTAAAGAATAGTACAGCCAGGGAGATAACTCAGTGGCCTAAGTACCTGCCTGGCAAGTAGAAGGTTCTGAGTTTGATTCCCAGTACAAAAAAAAATGATACACAAGAATAATAGAAAATTAATAAAATTAATAAAAGCAGTAGAGAAGAAATAAGGAAAAGAAAACATCGCATAACAATGAAAAAAGGAAAAATAAGAGAAAAAGATAAAGAATAAACTTAAGCCCCTAAAAACTGGTGAAAGGAAAAAAATCCACAAGAAGTAATTGTTCTGCATTTGTAAATGAGTGAACTTTTTCTAATTTCTGCAGTACTGGAATCAACTAGATATGATGGAGAGATAGTGAGTCAGTATTAAGTCCTATTTTATCTCCACACTCATGTTTTTTCTGTTTTCCTGCCCTACCATTCCTGCTGGGCATTGTTGATCAAATGATGTCCACCCCAAGCTTGTGGGTACTCTGGCAGCTTCCACTTCTTGTGTGCTTCTATGTACCTCGAGTTACAGCTTTCTTCTTTGAATTTTGAGGTGTTGTACCACCCCCAAAGTCTCCGCTATCCATATACACCAGGCTGTCCAAGTAAGCTAAGGTTAATCTCTGCTTACATTGTTAGATAAAGGATTTCTGTGCTAGAGGTAGGCAGCAGCATGGGGGCCCAAGCAGATCACTGGGCTTAATGTCAACACTTTCAGGCCAGCCATCTCCAAGAGCTTTGCAGAACCAGCATGGTTTCTCAGCAGGGTGGGTGGGGCCCTGTGTTCTTTCTGGTGTGAGTTTAAACTGCTTCTTCTCCAAGACTTCAGTTAAGGCCATCTGCTACCTAATCACTGTGGTAGAGTGACAGAAACTGTATTTTTTCTATAATTGTTTGTTGACTTCGTCTTAAACAATTAAAAATAAAATTCCATTCTATTTTTACAGTTTACAATAGGTATGGGACTTTCTTGGGACTGGCACTGCTGGCTAAAACTGATTTTCTTTTCTTTTCTTTTCTTTTTTCTTTTCTTTTCTTTTCTTTTCTTTTTTCTTTTCTTTTTCCTTTCCTTTCCT